TTGATTTAGAAGATGAAAGAATTTATTAAAAAAAACTCGGAGCAAACTGTTTTTTTTCCCCCCGTTAACGAGAAAAGAAAAACTTTTCTTTACTGCTAGGGTATATTGAATTTATTCATTTATTGGAATAGCGAAATCATATTGTGGATTGAATCTTTTTTTTCTTTACAATTACCGTGACGTTAATTAATGAGCAAATGTCAAGCTTACGTGACCTACCATATAGCCTCGATACATATCTAATTATACATAGTTGACATTACGAACTGAATGTGAACTATTCGGTGTATATTTTGTATTTTTATACTGTTGTTACATTTTTTTCCAACCAAATGTTTTATGAAATGTCGAGATTAGAAAAATACTTGTTATAATGCATCATATATGTGGACTTGCTACATACTCATTTGCATGCGTCCGATAATGCAATTCGCCGTACTCAAATTGGAACTAAAAGTTAAATATAAATTTTATGTCTTGTATTCTTTAATATACGAAAGAGTTTTAATTAGAGATTTCCTGATTAAAGCATTGTCACGTTAAAAATACGACGTATACTGTGTGGAAAATTTATCCCCAACTGAAACGCAAGCAAACTTGGAAGAATCGTATATAGAGAAATAATAATATCTAACTAAAAACAATTAATTTAAATTATCATTTATTTATTACTGGCAATTATTAAAATATTTTTCAAAATTAAGCCGAATCTGTACAGAGGTGGAAATTTTCGAGATTGTTCTTATTCGGTATTTACTTTTTTTTATATAAAAATTTACCAAAAGAATTGAATTATTTAAAACAAAAATTTCATTAAATTCCACGCAAACATTTAATTTTTTCTGTAAATAGTAAAAATTTCACAGGAATTTAATTATTTACAAATTTTTTATAAATTTCTTCGTAATAATTCAATTATTTTCATATAAATAATAAAAATTTCACAGGAATACAATTACTTATAAATTTCTTTTCAATACTTCATTCTTTATGGAAAAAATTCTAAATTCTTTATGGAAATTCAATTAATTTTAATAAATAATAAAACTTATTACAGAATTTCAATTATTTTCAAAAATATTAAAATTCTTCTCAAAAATTCAATTAATTTCATAAATAATGAAATTCTTCGCAAAAATTCAATTATAATCAAAAAATTTTTAAAATCCTCGTAAAAATTTCAATTATTTTTGTAAATAATAAAATTTTTTAAAAGGTTTCAATTATTTTCGTAAATAATCAAAATTTGACATAAATTCAATTATTTACAAATTTTTTTAAAAATTCCTTCGCAATAATTCAATTATTTTGATAAATAATAAAAATTTCAAAGGAATATTCAATTACATATTAATTTTTTATAAATTTCTTCTTAAAACTTCAATTATTTTCATAAATAATAAAATTCTTTATGAAAATTCAATTAATTTTAATAAATAATAAAACTTGTTAAAGAATTTTAATTATTTTCAAAAGTATTAAAATCTTTCGCAGAAATTCAATTATTTTCGTAAATAATAAAATAGTTCGCCAAAATTCAATTAGAATAAAAAATTTTTTTTAAAAAATCGTTTAATTTTGATAAAATTCTTGTCAAAATTTCCATTATTTTCAAACATTTTCCTCAACTTAATGATTTTCATAAATAATAAATATTTTTAAATAAGGTTTCAATTATTTTCAAAAATTAATAAAATTCTTTATGGGATTCAATTATCTTTTTAAAAAATAAAATTTTTCCCCGACATTCAATTATTTTGTAAAGAATAAAATTCTACAGAAGCATTTAATTATTTTCGTAAATATAATAAAAAATTTCACAGAATATCAATTATATTTACAAATTTTTTTATAAATTTATTTGCAATAATTCAATTACTTTCATAAATAATAAAACTTATTACGGAATTTCAATTATTTTCAAAAGTAATAAAATTCTTTACAAAAATTCAATTATTTTGTTAAATAATAAAATTTTTCTCAGAAATTCAATTACATATTAAAAAAATTTTAAAAAGTTCCTCGTGAAAATATCAATTATCTTTATTAATAATAAAATTCTTCTCTGAAATTCAATTATTTTCAAAGAATGTAATTCTACACAAGCATTTAATTATTTTCGTAAATAATAAAATTTTCATAGAAATACAATTATTTACAAATTTTTTATAAATTTCTTCGCATTCATTCAATTATTTTCATAAATAATAAAATTCTTCTCAGAAAAATCAATTATACTAACAAATTTTAAAAAATCCTCAGAAAGTTTCAATTATCTTTATAAATAATAAAATTCTTCTTCGAAATTCAATTATTTTCAAAGAATATAATTCTACACAAGCATTTAATTATTTTTGTAAATAATAAAAATTTTAGACTGAAATTCAATTATTTACAAATTTCTTACAAATTTCTTCTCAATAATTCAATTATCTTCATAAATAATGCAATTCTTTATAGAAATTCAATTAATTTTTAATAAATAATAAAACTTAATTACAGAATTTCAATTATTTTCAAAAGTATTAAAATTCTTCACAGAAATTCAATTATTTTTATAAATAATAAAATTCTTCGCAGAAATTTAATTATACTCCAAAATTTTAAAAAAATCCTAGTAAAAATGTCAATTATCTTTATAAATAATAAAATTTTTTGAAAGGTTTCAATTATTTTCGTCAATAATAAAATTTTTCTACACAAGCATTTAATTATTTTCATAAATAATAAAAATTTCACAGAAATTCAATTGCTTATAAATTGTTTTCAAATTTCTTTGCATTAATTCAATTGTCTTTATAAATAATAACATTTTTTACAAGGATTTAATTATTTTCATAAATAACAAAACTCATTGCAGAGTTTGAGTTTGAAGCAAATACCATTTAATTGCCTCAATAAATATTTTTTTTTTTCAAATTAAATATTTAATTGATAATAGTCAAGTAATTGATTATTCGAATCAAATAAATTTTTTTTTTCAGTTTATGAAAATAAAAACTTTTTCAAGAAAAAATGACTAAGAGAGGTAAAAATTTGTTTTTCTTTTAAATATATACTCAATTTCTTGACAAGTTTATGAAATTCTGATACGCGACTTTTACGTCGCATAAATTGCCAAATTGCATCCTCTATAGAAGAAGAAAGTTGGAGGACTGCGACCAGGTTGCGCCCTCGTTATTTAAAATTTAAGTGGAATTTAAATTTCCACTTAGGGAAGGTCTGTGGTATACGATTGGTCAATTTCAAATTTATGGTTCATTTCACTTTTTAGACTTTCTTCCATATCTTTTTTTCTTTTCAAAATTAGTCTACCGAAAAAGAAAAAGAAATTTAATACCTCTTAAAATAATGTTCTCCTCATATTAGAAAATCGAAGTTATACGCACTATGAAAATGGAAATTTATATTTGATTGAAAATAGCCGATTATACTTTTCTATTATCAAATGAATATTTATTCGAATTAAATTAATATTTATTTAAACCAATTAAGCGTGAAATTTTCGTTGCCATTATTACTTCAAAATCATTTTCTTTTTTATGAAAATTCTTCAATTTTTAAAAAATATAATTTTTCAAACAGTTTTTCTATAAATTTTGAAAAACAATTATTTTTAAACGATTCTAATTTTTTTTTTTTTTTGAGAAACAAATTCTTTCGGAATCTCTAAATTAAATTATTCAAAATTTCAATACTTTTTGTTAAACAAAAACTTATTATTATATTTATATTTTCACAGGAATTAAAATTTAAAATAATTTCAATGAAAAATCTTTTGACATTTAATTATTCCTAAAAACTGCAACTGTAATTCTTCCAAAATTCAATTATTTTTTTAGAATTATTGAATAAAATTATTCAAAAGTTGAAGAATTTTTAAAGAAAAATAATGTAATTAGGTAATCATTTTTGTAAAATAAAAATTTTAATATTTTTATACATTTGCAAAGAATTTAATTTTAAAATCTTTTAAAATTCAATTAATACCTAAAATTTCTGTTATAACGCTTTTCGAGAATTGAATTATTTAAATAGAATAATTTTTGTAAATTAGAAAAATAATGTTTTTCCTATTGTCTCAATTTTTTATAAATTATTTTCGAGAATTTAAGTATATCTTCAAAAAGTTTAAATTACTTTTATTCAAAAACCTAATTTTTTAAAGAATTTTTAAATTAAATCTTTTAAATTTCAATCATTTTTGTAAAATAAATATTTAAAACCCAAAATTCAATTATTTTGTAGAAGTTTTTGAATATTATTTAAAACTTTTAACTCTTAAGGAAGTTAAGAAATTAATATTTTTTATATTTATGTATTATTATACTTTCACAGTAATTAGAATTTCAAAGATTTCAATTAAAAAACATTTGGAAATTTAATTATTTCTCAATAATCCTACTTTATAACACTTCTAATTATTTTCTAAATGTTTTCTATTTTAAATCAATTCTTATCTTATCTTATAAACTTATTTAGTTATTTACAAATTAACTACGTCAAACTGTTGACATAATTGACATAATTCTTTTTTTTTTTGTCTCAATTTGATATCCTTAGAAAAAATATGAATCGGTATTATAGATGATTTAATGAAACAATATGTTTATTAATTATATTTATTAATAAAACTTGAATGTATCAAATTGCAACGAATACCAAAAATGTGGATCAAATAAAAAATTGATCCAAATTTTTCGCATCAATTTAATCCACTTTTGTATCAATTTGATACTTTCAGGAAAATTTTGTAAAGAGTGAAAGAAAATGAAAGATTTCTGAAAAAAAAATGCTAGCCTGTAATTAACTGCTTCTTCTCTATTTCTTAGAATTAACATAATTCTACGAATTATATTTTCCTCTATACAATAATTATAATCGGCAAAAAAAAAAAATTCTAATCTCGTCATTCAGATAATTCTCCGAGATTATGTTAGAGCTGACTTTGAATAAATTGCAGGGTCAAGTAACACGGTCATATATTCACCGACAGAAAATTGTATAATTGTATTGTATAATCTTTTGAAGCACTTTGGAAAGTTTTTGAAACAATTCCAACAATTTTCTATTTATTCACATATACTCATCTCTCATATTTCTTCTGCGAAAATAATAATAATAATAATAATTTCTGCTATATTTTCACACATCAACTTTCTTATAATAAGAAACTTCGTCGTCGTAATAAGAAACTGATTAAAAACCTGTCTCTAAAGCCGCAAAAGATTCATATTACTATGAGTGCTTTTTAATTACAATTATTCGTCTTGCAAAACGTGAAATTTCATTCTATATATATGTGTGAGACGAGAGCACGTTATTCGAGAAGGTCTCGCGAGCAGCGTGTCGCGGAAGTGAAATAATAAATATAAAATGGGTCGAACGGTGCACAGACCCTCAACTAAGTATTTGTGTCTGTGGGATACAATACAATGACAATCTGATTTTAAACTCCCAACTCAACGGCCATTTATATATTAGATCGAGTGTCTCTGATGACGTGGGACATGTGAGGTTTATTTGCCGCTTGATAGTCATTCATAAATCAAGATAAAAAAAATATTCCAAAATACAGTTGTAAAATGTGGTTAATATGATTGTGGAAAAATTTTTAACTCATGAACATTAAGAGTGTGTTCATAGTTGGACGAAGTTACATTGTGCTTAGAGTGTGAAGTTGTTAAGTAATCGTCAACAGTCGATGAAGCATTAATAATCCGTTAAAAACCATTCAAACCATTCAAAATTGATAATCCGTTAAAAATCGGTAATAATTAATAATCAGTTAAAAACCATTCGAACTATTCCGAATTAGGTAATAATCCGTTAAAAATCATTCAAACCGTTCAGAATTAATAATCCGTTAAAAACTATTCAAACCGTTCAGAATTAATAATCCGTTAAAAACTATGCAAACCGTTCAGAATTAATAATCTGTTAAAAACCATTCATAATTGATAAATCCGTTAAAAAACACTAATGATAATAAAATAAAGTGAGTGATAATCCGTTAATTCAGAATTAATAATCCGTTAAAAAACATTAATGACAATAAAATAAAGTGAGTGATAATCCGTTAATTCAGAATTAATAATCCGTTAAAAAACATTAATGACAATAAAATAAAGTGAGTGATAATCCGTTAAAAACCATTCCAACTATTCAGAATTAATAATCCGTTAAAAACCATTCAAACAATTCAGAATTGATAATCCGTTAAAAAACATTAATGATAATAAAATAAAGTGAGTGATAATCCGTTAAAAACCATTAATGATAATAAAATAAGGTCAGTGACAAACTTTGTGATCAGTTGTAGTGCTGCATGTACAAAAATGCTGGAACAAAATTTACGAATGATCCTGGTGCTCCTGGTGATTTTCATAGCCACCGGAAGATCATCAACGGAATTCACATCCAAGGCGAAGGAAAAGTTTCGAATTCTAGGCGTGTTTCATCATCCAGGAAAAAGTCATTTTGATGTTTTTAAACCACTTTTGGAGGAATTGGCAAGACGTGGTCACGATGTGACAGTTCTGTCATTTTTCCCAAGAAAAGTAAATGACACGGGAGTCGAAGTACTGCCGAATTATAAAGATATAAGTCTACTTGGTTCGGTGGATGTTTGGGTGAATGTTGTTCATTTGGAAACAATGAGCTATTCATTCATGAACCATATTATCGAATTACCAAAACTTCGCGAATGGGGTTTGGAACATTGCGAGGCAATTTTTAAGCTGGCGAATGTGAAAAAATTAATAAATTCAAAGGAAAAGTACGATCTCATTTTGACGGAGAATTTTAATAGTGATTGTTTTCTAGGATTTGTTCATAGATTTCAAGCGCCTTTTATTGCCATGACTTCGCATCAGATAATGCCATGGGGTTATGAACGAATGGGTAGTCCGGATAATCCGAGTTATGTGCCTTGTACATTTTTGGGTTTTTCGTCGAGAATGAATTTTAAGGAGAGAGTTATTAATACGGTTTTCACGAGTGTTGCTAAATTGACATTTAACACGGCCTATCAATGGTCAACGCAGAAAATTGTTAATGATGCATTTGGACCAAATGTTCCGCCTTTGGATGAAATAGCAAGGCAGACGGCGGCTTATTTACATAATACACATTATTCGTTGCATGGAGCGAAACCGGTTGCTGGGAACTTGGTGGAAATCGGTGGTATTCATATTGGAAAAGCAAAAGCATTGCCTGGGGATATCAAGAGATTTCTGGACGATGCGAATGATGGGGCTCTTTTGTTTAGTTGGGGTTCAATGGTCAAGGCATCTAGTTTACCGGAAGAGAAGCTGATGGCTATTCTCAAGGTACTTGGGAATATACCGAGGAGAGTCATCTGGAAATGGGAAACCAATCAACTGCCGATGAAACCGAAGAATGTTATGATTACGAAATGGTTGCCGCAGTTTGACGTCATGAGTGAGTAACTCTTTTTTAATTGCCTCAATTAAATTAATAGCTTGTGATTGTTAGATTTTGAATGGTAATTTTTTCGAACACTTTTCTCTTCATAAATATTTAATACATTGAGCAGGAAAAAATTAAATTTTTTAAATTCATAAGGAAATTCTGAAATTTTGTGTCTTTCTTGTTTGCATCATAAACAATAGTTTGAAAAATTGAAGGTTTTGTATTAGAATTCATGGTAATTTTATAAAATTACCACGAATTCTAATACAAAACCTTCAATTTTTTCTATTCCTCACAATAATTTCTTTTTAAATAACATTCAAGAACTATCATAAATTTATTACTTAGAAATTATTTAATGTATAATTTTACTTAAATATTGCAAAATTAATTATCTTTTAAAAAAGATGCGTTTATAATTTTCATAAATAGATGAACTTCAAAAGGTTTCAATTTGAAGTTTTATAAAATTTCAATTTTTAATGAATTTAAGTAGAAAGGTATAAAGAACTTAGATTTTTGAAAAATTTTAATAATTCAAATTCTTCTAAAATTAGTTAAATTTTTCAATATATATATATTTAATTAATTATTTAAAAAAAGTAGATTTATAGAATAATATTTTATTTAAAAACACTAAAAAATAAAAAATTTTCGAGAAATTAGAAATGATTGCCGAAATTCAATTATTTTTAAAAATAATAAAATTCTTCTCTGAAATTCAATTAAATTAAAAAATTTTTTAAATGTCTAGTCGAAGTTTCAATTATCTTTAAAAATAATAAAATTCTTTTCAAAAATTCAATTTTTTTCAAAAAATTCTAATAAAATTCTTGTCAAAATTTCAATTATTTTCAAAAATTTGAATATAATTCTTCGAAAAATTTAAATTTTCAAAAATTTTCCTCAATTGAATTATTTTAAAAAAGAATTGATAAAATTTTACGCAAATATTATAATTTTTTTCGTAAATAATAAAAATTTCATAGGAATTCAATTATTTACAAATTTTTTATAAACTTCTTCGTAATACAGAATTCAATTATTTTCATATAAATAATATAAGAGTCCGTAAAAGTATCTTAAATAAATAAATAAAAAACTCATCGAAGAATTTCAATTATTTTTAATGTAATTTTAAACAAATTCCTCAAAAAATGTAAATATTCTTAAAAAATTTATAAAAATTCGTCAAAAGAATTCAATTATTTAAAAATTTGTTAATATAAATTTAAATTTCTTAAAATTTCTTTTTTGAATGAATTTAATTTATTTATTTAACATTTTAAAGAACTTCGATTTCTGGAAAATTTTAATAATAGATATTCAAAATCTTCTGAAATTAATTAAATTTTTTAATATAATAAAAATTGAATTTAATTTAAACTAAAATTAATTAAATTTTTTAAAATATATTTTTAAATAATTATTAAAAGTAATGAATTTGTAGAAGAATTTTAGTTAAAAACATTAAAAATAATTGAATTTTTGGGAAGTAATACAAATGATTGCAGAAATTCAATTATTTCTAAAAGTAATAAAATTCTTCGCAAAAATTCAATTATACTCAAAAATTCAAAAAAAAATCCTGGTAAAAATTTCAATTATCTTTATAAATAATAAAAATTCTTCTCTGAAATTCAATTATTTTTAAAAAGTTTATAATAAAATTCTTGTCAAAATTTCAATTATTTTCAAAAATTTTCCTCAACTTAATGATTTTCATAAATATTAAAATTTTTTATAGGTTTCAATTATTTTCATAAATAATAAAACTCATTTTAGAATTTTCTAAAGAAATAAAATTCTTCGCAAAAATTCAATTATGTTTAAAACTTTTTTTAAATTCTTGTTAAAATTTCAATTATCTTTATAAATAATAAAATTCTTCACTAAAATTCAATTATTTTTAAAAATGTTAATAAAGTTCGATACAAGCATTTAATTATTTTCGTAAATAATAAAAATTTCTCAGAAATTCAATTATTTTTATAAATAAAAAAATTCTTTTTGGAATTCAATTATTTTTATAAATAATAAAACTTATAGAAGAAATTCAAATTATTTTTAATACAATTTTAATCGAATTCCTCCAAAAATGTAATTATTCTTAAATATTTTATTAAAATTCGTCAAAAGAATTCAATTATTTAAAAATTTGTTCATAAAATTCTTTATGATAATTCAATTTTGCAAAACATGTAATTATTATTCAATAAATTATTTATTTCTAATATTGATAAAAATTCATTTAAAAATTAATTTCAGTTACTATTTTAGATAATAATTAATAATAATTGAATTTTAAAAACATTATGGCATGCATTTTTAGAAATAATTGAATTTGGAGAAGGTTTCAAATTAAAATCTTTGAAAATATAAATTTTTCATACTTTTAGCTAACAATTCTGGAGAATTAATTTTTTTTTGAAAAGTTTAATTGAATTTTTTTCTGAAATTATTTGAATTTTTTATTTTCTAATATTTTTAATGGAAGAATTTCCGAATAATCGAATTTCGTAACATTGAATTGTAAGAAAATAGATTTGAAAATTCTCAAGGAACTTTTTCAAAAGTTATTAAAGATAATTGATTTAAAGAAGAAGTTGATTTAAAAATTCTAGAAAAAATAATAATTAAATTGAAATGATGGAAATAATTTTGAGGTTTCAGTGACAATATTTTTAATTTAAAATAATGATTTTATCACTCGATCATTTTTATTTTATTATAAAACATGAAGAAAGAGAACGATATCTTCATGTATTGTAATAATATTTTTATAAGTTGTTGAATTTGAAAAAGGTTTGAATTTTATATTTTTGAGAAATCCTAATCTTTATGGAAAAATAATAATTATTAAATATTTATTAAAAAAATGCGGTTATATCGATGTTCTCCGCAATAATTTGACAATTAAAGAAATTCGTAAATAAATGTAATAGGACATTTTTTTCGTATCTAATAATTTTTAGAGTGATTCTGAATATTTTTTAGGATCAAGGAAAAAGACAAAATTTAGTCTGAAAATCTATAAAATCAAGAAAAAGCAAAATTTAATTTTTGGTGTCAACTCTGATCTATTTACCATTAAAATATTAAACAAAAAAAAAGTGAGCGAAATGTTTGCTTGAATAATATATATATATATACCTTTTGTCACATTTGAATTTCCGCTGAGTAATTGAGTATAATAATAATAAAGCTGATAAAACGCAACGTGATCAATTGAGTTGAATTAATGGTCTCGTTATATCTGTAAACGAAAAAAATTGTTTCTTCACTCACTAAAAGGAGATAATTTCATTATCATCAGTTGACTCTTCAATTAACTTACTGATAAAATATTCATTTAATTATATAATGCATATGAAGCACGTACACGCTTTATACGTCCGCATTAATCAATAATTGAGATAATGAAGAAGCTCTTTACCTGTAGTTTAATTTCAAACTCATTATTTATATATGTTGTCAATTACATTAACATATAATTAACACTTTAATAAATAATGTAAATTTCAAAAAAGAAATTTTTATTATACATTTTCTTTATACTTTTCTTAAAAAGAAAAAAAATACGTCTTTTCCTTTTATACGAAAAAAAAATTTGTCTATTATGTAATAATTTTTTTCTTCTTTAAAAGACCTTGTAATAGTTTGATCTACTGATTACCACAACCTGTTTTTCATTTATATCAATATTCCAGTAATTTCTGTCAAACTGCAGGAAAAAAGGCGCGTGTCACGTGGGAGATGGGAGGGAAGGGGGGTATAAAAAATAATCAAAAATAGTGAAACGTAGTAGTCTCTAATCTAAATAATTGAAATTCATTGTAGAAGCGTGGAGAGAGACTGTGATAAAATAATTTTATCAAAATATTAAATATTTACCGATTTCCAGACTTATTTATTTTAAAATACATTTTTAAGATGTAGAAAATTTATAGAATATAATATTCTTACACTGAGAGAACATTATTTTTAATTCAAATAGAAAACAATTTTTAAGCGATTTTGTTTAATTGAAATTAGTTTGTAAGCTTCATCCCAATATATAGAAAATATCTACTGCTTTGATTGAAAAATATTATTTGTTTGACATTTAATATTTAATTTTCTTTATAAATAAATAGCAAAATTCTTCGACAAAATTCGATTATTTTCAAAAATTTTATTAAAATTCATTACAAAATTTCAATTATTTTCATAATTAACAATATTCTTCTCAAGAATTCAATTATTTTCAAAACATTTTTAAAAATCCTCTTCAAGATTTTAATTATCTTTAGAAATATTAAAATTTTTCTCCAAAATTCAATTATTTTCAAAAAGTCTAAAAAAAATGGTCAAAACATCTCAATTATATTTATAAATAAATAGCAAAATTCTTCGACAAAATTCAATTATTTACAAAAAATTTTAATAAAATCCATTGAAAAACTTCAATTATTTTCAAAAGTAATAATATTCTTCGCAAAAATGAAATATTGTTCAATATCTACTATTTTCATAAAATTTATCAAAATAATTTAATTATTAAAAAAAAAATTTAATAAAATTCTACAAAAACTTTTAATTATTTTCAAAAAATAATTTTCAATAGAATTTTAATCGAATTCCTCGAAAAAAATCTTAAAGATTTTATTAAAATTCCTCCAAAGAATTTAATTATTTAAAAATTTGTTGATAAAATTTTTAATGGGAATTGAATTCCAAGAAACATTCAATTATTCAATAAATTATTTATTGTTGTATTTAAATAATTGAATTCTGGTAGAATTTTCTCATAAACATTGATTTAAAAATAGATTTCAGTTAAAATCTTAGATTATAATAATAGAATTCTTTTGAAGAATTTCATTGAAATTTTAAAAATAATTGAATTTTATCGAGACATTTTTTTGTAAAATTGTCTTAAAAATAATTGAATTTCTATCAAAAAAAAATTTTATCAAAACTTTTTAAAATTTTTGAATTTCTGCTAAAATTATGATATTTTTGAAAAT